GCGGCTGCCCTGCCCACGCGGCGCGCCATGCCTACCGCCCGCAGCAAATCCGCGCGCAGCCCCTCGACGGCGGCGCCAGCCTGCCAACTTCCTTCGCCGCGCACCCAGCCCCGCAAGGAAGTCCGCCCAGCAGTTCCCCAGCCAGCCCATCGGGTGGAGCTCCTGGTCGATGGCCTCCTCCAGACAGAGAGGGCCCAGCGGATGGGCTGCGGCGGCTTCCCCGACTGGTCCACCGCATGGTGCAGCCGGCGCCAAAGACCAGCATGGCGCGCCGCAGCGCGGGCGGCAGCGGCGCCCCACTCGCCCCCTTCCTTGACGAGGACCTGCAAGTCGCTCACGATGAGCCTGATGCCACCATCCTGCCGCAGCGGGCTGAGGCAGGCGCACCTCTCCGCTCGCCCAACAGTCTGTCGAGCACCAGGCAGGGCGCCGCATTGCGCCCGCAGGGGGAGGCCGTCAAGGCGCAGCGCAACCATGGCCCAGCCGCAGCGGCGCGCTTCCAGCACCTTCGGCCCGATCCCCGACCCGCCGGAGTAGCCGGCGCAGGGCCGCGCCTCTGAGGGCGCCCACCAACTGAGGACCTCCGCCTGGTCGGGCGCTGCCTCAGGGAAGGCCGGCGCCAGCAGGAGGCCGTAGGACAAGGGCACATCGCTGTCCCCGATGGCCCACAACCTCTCGGCATCCTCCAGTTCCTTCCTCACCGCCTGCAGTGGCTCGCGGAAAGGCCACTCCAACTCGAGCTCCTCGTCGCGGGGCTGCATCACCACGAGGCATTCGCATCGGCGATGCCTGAAGGCGTCGCAGGTGGGCCCCGCGCGCCCGGCAGGCCTCCTGGTCCAGGAAGCCACGTTCACGCCGCCAGACGTTGGCGCAGTGCCCCCCCGCCCACGACGCCTGCAGGGCGCCCTTCTCAGCCGCCGAACGCGCCCTGGTGGCAATGGCCCGCGCCGCTCTAGGCCACGGGACCTCTCTTCGGCCTTCAGGGCGGCGGCTGACCAGGCGCCTGCACTGCCAGCGCTGGACGCCCTCCACTAAGGAGTCCTTGACGCCCCGCGGCGGCGAGCTCCCTGCGATCACTGCGCAGCACCCAAGCCGAGACCATCTCCTCCCAGCCCACGCGCTCCAGCGACAACCAGGTGGCCGAGGGGCCCCTGGGCCGCGGCCCACTTGAGGTTGCCCCTGCCCTCCAAAACCCAGGCCGCCAAGCGGAAGACCAGCGGGGCCGCGGCCGCGACGATCGGGTCGTAGCCCGCGCGGCCCTGCAGCAGCATGACCGCAGCCGTGCCACCGACAGGCTTGGCACCCGCAGTGACCGCCGCCAAGGCGCGCAGCTGCGCAAGCGGCCGATCGGCCAAGCCAGCCACTCCAGCGCCGCGGCCCGCCGAGGGGGGGGCGCCCGAGGCGATGGGGGCGGCAGCCCCCGCTGCGCGTCGCAGCGCGGCCAACCTCTGCCGCCTCGCCAAGGCGGCTGCCAGCCGCATCTTCTCTCGAGCGCGCAGGACCTTGCGGCCGCGCAGCTAATGCCCCAAGTTGCGCACCCGCAGCTTCTCCTCCAGGCCGACCCGCTGCATGCGAGGGCCCAAGGCGCGGGCGCGACGCCTCTGCGGCGCCAGGAAGCCCGACTTATCGGGCTGCAGCGCCGGCCTCAGGTCCTCCATGCGGTCATTGAAGTGGTTCAGCGCCCTCGCCAGCTCGCCGCCGCTCTCCTCCTTAGGCCCCTGCCCGCCGAGGGTGGCGCCATCAACCAGGCCCCTCGGCGCGACCGTCGGGGCGGTGGCGCGAGCCCGCAGGGGGGCCCGCAGGGGGGGTCCGCAGGGCGAGCACCATCAGCAGCGAGTTGGCGCGCCCGCGCCCAGCAATCCTCCCCTGCCAGGCCACCGCCCCCGTAGACACAGAGCCGAATGCCGCCAAAGTGCGCGGCTGCCTGCAGGACGCAAGCAGCGCGCAGGTGAGGCGCAGCGGGAAGTGGAGGGCCCTCGCTTCCATCATCTGCGCCCCAGGCACTACCATCTCGCACGCCCTCCATGCGTCCAGCGCCACCTGGGCCGGCTGCGACGTCGAGGGGCTGCCCAGCGGGGCCCCTACCCTCTGACGTCCCGGGGCCGCACCCTTGAAAGCCGAACGCCCCAGACACCGCGTTGGGTCTGGCTCCGCCCACCCCTGCAAACCTCAGCAGCAACTTCTGCGCCTGGTCCATGAGCAGGTCGCCATGGGCCGCGCCCAGGGGCCGCCACCCTGGCAGGCCCCTCGGGGCCCGTGCCGTCTGACATCGCGGGGCCGCACCCCTGAAAGCCGAACGCCCCGTCCACCCCCCGAAGGGACTGGCCCCCTCCATCAACCCCCCTACGATCAGCCGCAGCACCGTCGCCGACTGGCCCTCCATCCAGCAGGACGCGCAGGGCCGCGCCCCGGGGCCGACACCCTTGGTTGCCTGAGGTCGCCCATCAAGGCGTCGAAGCCGTGCCCCATGTCGGCGGCCGCCTGCTCCTCGGCATCGCAC